CAAAGGGCAGCCACCCCCAGCAGAGCCCAGGGAGCTGGGGGTTAAGGGCCTTGCTCAAGGACCCACAGACGTGCTGAGGCTGGGCTCAAACCCACAACCTTCCGATCACAGGCACAGCAACTTAGCCCACTGAGCTACATGCTACAACAAACACAACAAAATAATACTTGAAACTTATATGCATTTAGCACTATAGTCTTTAGGAAACAAAAAAGGTGTGAATTTCACTGTATTATGTACACAGGATAATAAAAACTTGAAATGTTAAAGCTCTTTAACACCTTTTCTGGATATATGTAACACGACAATGCAGAACAGTCATAAATGGAAACGCAGTTTGAGGGTATATTTCAAAAGGAAGGATGCTACCATAAACATGTATGTCATAAACAAATTTTGGTTTTATAAGATCATAAACATGAGCACACTGGTAACTGCTGAGAGGAGACAGCATGAAGCAGAAGAAAATAAAACGTGATGTAATTTAAGATTAACATGGAAGACAAATGATTATATTTTCCACAGCCTTAAAGTGAAGTATCCAAGCAATCATCTACAAAAACGCAGTATAATTTGAAATAATGCACAATTCGTATTTATGGAATAAAGTACAGATATGATCGCAAAGCTTAAGTACTGGGAGTTTTTTCATAACTAAAGATTACATCAAATACTAATATAATAAAGGTTTAGCCTTGAACCCCAGAAACACTAACTACAAAAAGAAGAGAAATGAATGAGCTTTTGTATGAACAAATTAGAAAAAATTAATGACTTTCAAGCAGGCCAGTGTTCAGCACTGGAATTCTGTGGAAGTAATTTCCATCTTAATATTCCAGACAAATTGTTTGAGAAAGACTGACATGTGTGCAGGATCATTTCTAGGTCCCTAGAACCCAGTTACATGGAAAACCTAACAAATGCTCAGGTTTCTCTGACTCTTTGGACTATGTAGACTTCCATGGTCTGCAGAATGGAGCGGCCATCTTGGCTCAACATTTGCGGGGCTGGTGGATGTGCAAGACCTTAGGCGAGTGTGTTTTCTCCACGGCTGGTTTGACTTTGCTGTGCCTGATGCTCACTGGTGAGGTGGGAAACTCGTGCCCCAACTGAAAAACAAAAGAAAAACAGTTTTACATACTTCAGTCATTTAATAGTGGAACAATGAGGTGTACAGTGATAGATGAATGGATGCATGGAATCCTAATCTTGGAGTTATAATTTATCATTAAATATATTATACGGCTACACTTTAGGTCTGTAAATACTGTAGTAAGGAGAGCACAGGGTTCAAAGCAGACAGATAGCAAAAAGACAGTGTTGTGCACATATTTGACTGAATGTTGGCAGGATACATTGCTGCAAAACTACTAACCTTTTCAAGAGTCCCCACTAACAAAATATTGACCGACTGCATTCCAGGAGAAGTGGCGAGAGATCTGGAAAGACATTTCGACGGATTCTTCAGCGACATACGGCAAAGCTATAACTGGTATCATAGAGTCACCACCTCAGAGCAGAACTGTTTGCAATCCACAAACTGTTTATGTGACCGAGGCAGAGAATATTTATCTTGAGAAAGCCTTAAAATTCACAAGAGACACCCAACACAAACACAAATCTCAACCATCTGCTCCCGAATAACAGATAATAAGGATTTTACCCAAGAATAATGAAGTCTCAGCACAGTATGGTATCGCTGTACGCAAGACCGGGAGAATTACATTTTATGGATGTTCTTCTGGTGAAAAACCACAGCATTAATCCTCTTGAAATGCTGCATTGACACAGCAATCAAGCAAAGTTTCTTAAAGGCACGATACTCTTTTTAATCTTTGCTCATTTCATAATTCCTGCCCACTTTCTCTCCAAGCTAAATCCACTGAGCTCCATCCTATAGAAGAGCCATGTCCACTCCAGGTTAGTTTACTAGCTGAGGTGGACAGCAGACATCAGCATCCGCCAGTGCACTATCCGCCCCCCCCCCCCCCATGTGCCTGCTCCCCAGACCTGCTACCTCGGCTTCTCAGCTGGCCTCTTGCTGTCCTTCTCAGCACTTCCATTCTCCTCCGAACTTTTCTTGGCCACCCTCTTGCCCCCCGCTTTCACTGTTGGGAGAGAGCAAACAGACGCTAGTCCCTCAAGCCTCACCTGTGGCACAATTTACCAGCCCAGAGAGTTAACTTCAGAAAACTATACACGCACCCACCGACACATACACACAGACACACACATACACGCACGTGTCGGGTATACCTATCCTTATGGGGCCCACTCATTCACTTCTATGGGGAAAATGCTAACGATAGCTATGACAACCTTCACCCCCACCCTGCCCTAACCATAACCATAAGTAACCAAACTAAAGACGAGAGTTTTTGCATTTTACCAGGGAACCGGTCCCCATAAGGGAAAAAAACGGGTATTTATCACGTTATGGGGATATTGTGTCCCCATAAGGATAGGTATACCTGCTCGCACACACACACACACACACAAACATAAATATATATATTTATCTCCACCCCGTGTGTAACACACTGCAGGCAGCTGTCGCGTCATTCCGCCTGCAAAGTTCTGTTGACATCGCGGGTATGGATAAGCCTTTACCGGCAGGGTGCAAGAGTCTGGGCTCTCAGTGAATCACTGACTTAATTGACATCTTTCACTAATACCGTAATTTTCCAGCCTCGCCTTCACTTTAGTTTCATTAGTAGGTGCAGCTTAATTCACCGCCGAACAAAGAAAGCAACTCATATAAATTAGAGGCGTTTCTACATACGATAAAATGTGCATTTATAATTCTTATAAAGGAGAGAGATAACAACTTATTTAACCTTGTTGCAAACCATAATTAGCATACTTGAGCTGCAGTAGCAACAGGAAAACCACAAAAGAGAAGACTTTTTTCTCGAATTTTTGTAATAGAAAAAATAATAGCGGTCTTCTGTAACTTTATGCCTAAAGACTGAAATTTAGATACTACAAGAGAAACTCTACAAAGGAACTTTTGAAATCGTTATTATAATCTTACTCTGCAAAGGAAATGAAAAGTAACTGTGCAGTACTTTCAAAAACGAAAGCGAAAGACCGCAGTTTACTGTTTAGAAAGCATTACTTAATTAACGGAGTTTCTTTATCAGACGAAAAACTTCATTAACCCATAACCCAGTGAAAATCTTAGTTATTAACGGCGTTTTGGTTCAGGCTTTGAAGAAGCATCAACAAAATGCTGTTGATTTAATCATTTAATGTAAGGGAAATAATTTCCAAAACTGCAATGCAGTAACTTCAAGCGGTTAAACACTGGCTGTATCTTCACACAGGGGAATGAAACGGCTAATTACCTGCTGGGGGGTGGCCAGCTTTTAGCGGTGGGATCTCTTTTCTTGGCACCGTAGGCATCGGAACCATCTTCAGACCTCTGAAATCGCACACGGAAAGTGGTAAATTTCGCTGTCCAGGATTTTTCAGGGGGAGGCGGAGTGGTTAAAAATTAAAACAACTGCGTCACACCCTGAAGTTATGAAAGGTTACGCAACCGTGTTTACATTGCACACGCAGTACCGTCCCCGTTGTAGGGCTACAGTTAACTTGCCTAAAAGTTGTTTCAATGCCATCTCGATAGTTAATCCTTTAAATTCAGCAGTATCCGCGTAGTTGGTTGAATTATTTACGGAGGATGCTGACCTATTGTGTGAAGCCTGGCCGATGTGGATTAATGTGTAGTACCATATGTTACCGGGAGGGGGGTCTGCTTCATATGGAGCCGTTTAAAAAGTCCCACAGATATCGTGTACATCACTTAATGTAGTGACAACGGGAAGCAATACACCCAGAAGGTGGCAGGCCTCTGGCATGTCATACCGCCGTGAAACCAAAACACATTCAGTATTGGGTGCGACCCCTTTAATAATATCACCTTCTCGTCGTGCCCACAGACTAGACACACGTACTGTTTCTCATTGCATTTATGACCAAGGCATGAGGGTCTCCGAATAATCTCTTACCCCCGATCTGCTGGTGTTGCTTGGTGGAGGTAATAGTCCGTCTTTCCGCAGATAATATCGATATAGATCTATGCTGGAAGATAGATCTCCGTAATATGAACACTGTCTTAGAGCAGCTGTGTAATGCAGAGTGGCAAGGCCATCCTATTATGAGCTCTCCTCCCGAGTACTTTCGGGCTCAGAGTTCGGATTTGACTCCTAATCCCAAAATAATTAATATTTATCCTACCATTGTATTGCGTTTAAATTACCGGTTAAACTTGCTAATAAAAACATGCATGATTTAATTCATAACATGTGGGGTGAATACGTTTGAGAACCCTTTTAGTTCTTTAAAAAAAACACTGATTTGCGGTTGTCATTACCCTGTAACTCATCCATATCCAACGTAAATAAAATCCAAATTTCATTGCCAGAAACACATAAACAGAATGTCACCTTTCCATTTCATGACAAGATCTACAGGCTGATCAGCCCCACCCGTCAATCACTGCCTGCTTCAGCCTATGGGAACCCAGCAAACTTGACATGAAATATGTCAAGCCAGTGAGTGTTAGATAGCCCCGCCCACCGTAGATGTCCTGGCCTCAATTCTCCAATTATAATGGTCTATCTATTAGCACATCAAAGAGAATCACATCATAATTTTTGCTTTTTTTGGATTCCCAAAGTCCCTTCCAGGCAGACCGATGAATATGTGGGTTTTCCATAAAGAACTTTTAGTTTTTAGTAAAAAAATTCTTGGCAAAACAAAAAGCATGCATGTGCAATGGTCTAATCATCCGACATTTCCTAAACTGTTGCAAAAGTGTTTTCTTAAAATCGAAAATTTAGCAATGAACTAAAAAGACTGAAGATACTGCATGACAGGTGATGGATAAAATCAGGGCAGAAGACAAACGACGGAGCGGATGATGTTGTTTATTATTCTCCAAGACGCCGATGTGTTCTTAAAAAGACGGAGGAGACAGAGAGTTAAAAAATCAGCTGTTTCTGGAGGTAACTTTGATGTTTATTTCTGTTCTCTGTGCATAGAAAATGGCAGTGAACCATTCCATGTGAGGCGCAGGGCAGTGAATGGAAAAATAGACTCTGCAACATCACTCAGAAAAGAGCTCCACTGTCAGCATTCATTAAAAACAAAAACAAAACGAGAACAAAAAATATGTCATTTTATTACACTCAAATGCATGTGTTATGCTTCCCACTGCTCAAAAATTATTCTCTAGTTTCTTTGCATTTATATTTCTATGTAATTTAGACATGGCACAAATCTTAAATGGGCACTCATGAGCTTAAAACCAGTGATAGAGTTTTTTCCCCATATTTACAATAAAATGAAGAAAATGTACATGATTCTTGGGGGTACACAATCTCAATATTAAGTACAGCAATAATACAAGAAAGGAATATGATTTCATTCCTCTGTACAAACTAACATCATTAGATCCTCTTTTTTAGTGCTATGAAAGGCTTGTCCCTACATACGCAGTCCTGTCACATTCCCGTACCTTTCTTCACTTTACTCACTCCTTCAACATGCTAGCACAGCTACAAACTTTAAAGAAACAAACAAAAAAGAAAACATACGTCACAGGAGAGAGACATCTGGTCCTGGCCCCTCCCACTTCATCCTACAGTCCCAGCCATGGCCCCTCCCACTTCATCCTACTGGCCCAGCCCCCTCCCACTTCATCCTACAGGCCCAGCCATGGCCCCTCCTACTTCATCCTATTGGTCCAGCCAAGGCCCCTCCCACTTTATAATACAGGCCCAGCCATGGCCCCTCCCACTTCATCCTACTGGCCCAGCCCAGCCCCCTCCAACTTCATCCTATTGGCCCAGCTCCCTCCCACTTCATAATTATTCCTTCTTACCAACACGAAACGCACATCCCACCATCTCTTTCTTTGGCTAGACGTTCTGCTGTCCATCTACATCCTGTCAACCCCACGTTCATAAGTCATTTAATAATGAAACGTACAGGTAAAAGCCAATAAGGGGACTCCATTCCCTGGAAAAGGGGCGGAGCCTTTACACCCAGGAGTCTGGCGAGCCCGGGTACTGCTCCGCCCGGTACGAAGGTCTCCGTGCGGCCGAGTAGAAGTCCACATAGTTCGTGGTGGATTTCAGCGAGTGCGGCGCTGGCGTGTAGTCCGCCGTGGAGGAGTAATGGACACCATCCTCGAAGTAGGAGTCCTCATAGCTGCGTGGAGACTGCAGGTACCTTCTGTAGGTATCATAGGTCCTCCTGCTGGGATCCTCAGCATAGTACAACTGCTGAGAGTGTGGAGAGGGGGACAAGGAGGCTGCCGATCACTGGATCACTGCACATACAGTGGATTACAGCTACATGTATGACTTAAAATGTATGGGATAAACTGATTGTGTTTGTTTATTGCAATGCTTAAAATCTATCACACCCCCACTCCTACATAAATTAGTACTCCATCCATCCATCCATCCATGCATCCATCCATCCATCTTTCAACCACTTATCCTGGTCATGGGGGCCCAGGACCCCCTCCCAGCATGTCTTTAGACTGTAGCACCCAGAGGAGGATGGAGAAGGGAATAGAGCCGACAACCCTGATGGTGCCAGGCTGCAGTGTTACCCACTGCTTAAAAAATGCTAGCACAATAGTACCATGACTGACATCAGTCATGGGGGTTCAGAACTGAAACAAGGGCAGAGCTGAATTTTAAAAATGAATAAATGAATACATTTATGCAGACAATTCAAAGTGTGTGTGCGCGTGTGGGGGGGGTTTAACAAAGATCTAAAAGAAAACAGCCACCTCCCTCCCTCACCTGTCCTCGTCTGGGCTCCTCTCTCGTGGGTGAGGAGTAGGATCCTGTAAAATACTGCGATGGCTTCCTGGACGCTATAAGAGACGCACATGCAGGGGGCAAAAAGTCCATAAAATGCACTTATGAACAGAACAAGCTGACCCACAAGAGCCTAACTCAGCATCAACTTGAATATGCACCAAGCTCATGGGAGTTTTACTTACACAAATATGTTGAGAGCAGAAGGAAAAATGATTGGTTGAGAGATAACCAATTAGATTGTAGAGGAGGTGGGTCTAAGTAACTAGAGCAGTCAGGACCAACCAATCAGATGTTTTGGTCCCACCTACTCTAGTTGCTTGAACCCACCTCCTCTACAATCTGATTGCTTGTCTCTGAACTATTTTTCCTTCTGCCCTCGGAACATTTTTGTGTAAGTAAACTCCCACAAGCACACGCCTCAGCCCTGCATTGCTCTGGGTGTCTGTGGAATATCACTTCCTAGCAGGCCTTGAAGTAGCCAGACCCAGTGGCATTTTACCCATAATCCCCAGGGTGGCCAGCACTTTTGCAGGGCCCTTGCCACTCACAACACCATTTTTCACCCTCTTTTGGTCACTCAGAGCTACTAAACCCCTTTCAGAATGGCTGTCTGAAGGATAGCTTTAGGCTTACTTGTGGATTGGTATTTATGTACACTGCCATCTCCTTGATAATTATAGAATTGCATAGATGACTGTGTTCTTTGATAATTTGAGCGATGTTCTTTAATCCCCAACATGGCAGGAGAGGACGTCGCACTGCCACCTGAGGGACAAGCAGAACAGACAGATGTACTCAGATGTTATTCCCAAGCTTTGGGTTTTATTGAGAGTGGGGACTACATTTCCCATGATCCTCTGTTTTAGGCACTCACCTGACTGGATGACAGGTGACATCTGTAGGTTTGTGGATGGCAGGGTGGGCTGTGATTTGTACCTATCTCGCTCCAGTGTGGAAACAGGTGTGATAAAGTGGTTCTGGTTCCAGCCGTCCTGAACACACAACAAAAAGGAGATATTTCAACCCATCTTCAAAGAAACCCAACATTTCATCATTCCCACACCCCGTCTTGTAACCACCTAACCTTTTTATAAATGGTGCGCAGGTCTCTGTACTGCCACAGTGTGTTCAGAACCTGAGCTGCTGCTTTTACTACCTTCATCGAGTACCTGAGTCAGGGAGAAGAAAAAGGAAAAAAAGAAGAAGAAGAAAAAAAGTCAGGCACCAAGGGTTGGGGGTTTGAATCCCGCCGACAGTCTCTGTGTGTGGAGTTCTTCTCCCCGTCTTCTCCCCATGTATTGTGGATTTCCTCTGGCTCCTCTAAAGCATGCAGTTACATGAACTGGTCTTGTGAAAATAGTGTGGCGGCCTGACAGGTAGGGAGTGTGCTTCTGATTGAAAGGTTGCTGGTTCGAATCCCCAAGCAGTAGGGCATGACTGAGGTGGCCCTCAGCAAGGTACTGCTGCCCACTGTTATGTTAAATGCAGATACATTGTGTCCTGTGGTATGTCAACAATGACAATTGACCACTTTCACTACACCTTCTGATAGGCTGGCCTCCCACCCAGTGTGCTCCTGTATTAAATAACGAGTTGCAAAATGGATGAATTAAGTCAATAAATGGTGTCAGTTAAGCAGTCATTCTGAGGATAACCTTTAGCGCATTAAGCCCATTCAGTGCTTCATACCATATTTTGCACTATGAGCTAATGCCATTTACTGAGAATCTTTTCAGTTGTCAGCTAATTGTTTTAGCTATACATTATATTTTATAATATATTTTACTTGCCTGGCTTCTGTTTTCATTCAAACTGACTTACATACAATATCAGTATCTACAGGATCAACTGTCTATTTCACTGGGTCAATTCTAGTTTAGTACCTAGTTTCATGTCCTTCAGGTTACCAGCTAGTTTCCTGATCCACGACTCCCCCTGCAGGCCCAAACTTAATCAACCACTAAAGGACTTTGCTGGGTACTTTCTGGGACTCGATCAGGCGACCAATCGAGTGCTGCGCTACGCCGGCCGCCGGCCAATGGGAGCGGGCCCCGACGAACCTCTCGCCCCTGCCTTTGGTGATGCTGACGAGCTTCTCGATGCCGCCGGTGTCGGCCAGCGCCTTGGCGTTCTCCATGTTCTTGCTGGTGACCTCGTGCAGCGTGCAGCAGATGGCGGCCACCGTCTCGTCCGACAGCAGCGTGGTGCCCCCCCCCGGCAGGCGGTTCACCAGGTCGCGCATGGCGTACTTCCCTGAGGAGACAAACAAAACAGAACAAAACAAAAACAGAAGTGTGTTATTCGCCTGCTCATGGCCGCTGACACGTTTAACAAGCGAGGCGTGGCAGGTCCTGTCCTACTGCCCCGAAGACACGGTGATGCCCCCCCCCAGCGGACTCCAAGCCAGTCGGCCAATAGGCTCCATGCCCAACCCTCCGGCCTGGACAGTTTGCCCCTCCCCTGTAATAACACCGTCTTAAAAGAACGGCAACATTGTCCAGCTCTCAGCAAAACGACCCCCTCCCCCCATTCACACAGCAGTTGTTGGGAAATGAGTGAAACGCAGTGACCTGTCCCATTACGGTCGGCTGCCTCCCAGTATGAAGGCCTGTAATGGCTTAGCATTAAAGAAATTGGTTTAGATTCCCCCAGAAATTCCACATTTCTTCTCTCCCCCAGTTCAAGACACACCCATACCAGGAATTCGGTGTTTGTGATTGGCTGGGAGTTGGGAGGGAGTAAAAAAATGTGGACTGTCTCAGGGTCACAGGACTGGGTTAAGAACCATTGGTTTTGAAGGATCCTCCATTAGGGGGCCATATTTCCAGCTGTTATCCTACAGTGGGGGGGGGGGGGTCCTTATGCACAGATACTAATTGACACAGGTGCTAATTGGCTTAATGGCCCGAGCGGCCCACCTATGAGCTCCTTGTTGCGCACGTCCAGGGCCATGTTCCGGAGCGCCGTGGCCACAGAGCAGACCACGCGGTCGTTGTCCATGCGCAGCAGCTCCACCAGGATGGGCAGGCCCTTCTCCTTGCGCACTGCTGCCCGGATGTAGGCTGCAAACTGGGGGCGCCGGGGGGGGGGGGATAAAACGACACATGGTCACGGTTTAGTGCAGAGTTCTAGGATGGGGCCATTCCCTCCAATCACAAGCCAAATTGCTTAGCCAATCCGAAGCCTGGGCAAATGCCAGCCAATCACAAAATTTTTCATTATTGTATAAAGGAAGGACGACTTTTTAAACTGTGACCCACATCTGAGAGCTGGAGCAGAGTGCGACCAGCGCCGGTGTTCACTACCACTCAATTCTGTCATATGTGTGGGGCCCCCTATTGGCCACAAACAGTCGCTACACTAGGGTGGGCAGTGGAGCCCCAGACCGCAATCCTGTGCTGGCTTGGGCAGGTATGAAGCTACATAAACAGACTGCAGGATCACACAGCATCCTGGATTCCAGGTCATAACATTATACAGTTTGGTTTTTATGCATACTCTTATTAAATATTTTATTTCAGTTTCAGTATAATGTTTTTTTTGGCCCTTATATTCTAGTTTATACAGCATTTTTATGTTTGTATCCCTTCAACATCGCACATCAAACCTCGCTCTCTGTTTGAACCCTATACTAATTATGCTACTGCATTCAAAATATTCCCTTTTATGACGTCAAAGAGACAAATAACATTAAACATTTAACAGTACTTCTGCTGCAATATGTTTTTCTTTTTTTTTACGGTAAAGAGTCAGTTGACTTTGGTATGTTTCAGCTGGTCCCGTTACCCAAAACAACCTGGCTTCAGATAACCACGCATAAAACTGAAGATGGACTCAGTTTCAGTCGCCGTTAAATGTTTATTAAGGGACCAGCACATGGGGACTTCTGGCTATACAGCCTCCCTCAGGTTAACACACCCATAAATTTTTAACACGTACTGTAAAAGTGCCATGTGTGGTTACTGGCTTGTGTGAGATGTCTGCAGGTCACCCCAGGCCATCTTGTGGTGTTTACCAGTTTACTGTTTGTGTTTAACATTCCTGCTTAAACCAGAAATATTTGGAAAAGGGCTCAAGCCAACAGCACGAGGGCCCAGCTACAGAGAGCAGCCAACGCGAGGAGGCGGGGGGGGGGGTCACCTTCCAGTTTCCCGCAGAGAGGTTCTGCAGAGACCCTGCTGAGCCCTCCAGCGTGGCCGGGTTCGAACTCTCCGCCAGCAGCGTCAGGTAGGGCTTCACCACAGCCGGGTGCCACAGCATCTCCACCCCCTTGGGGGCCTTGGAGAAGCCGGGGATGGGGCCCACGCCGTCCCACTGCGGGGGCACAGACTCGGTCAGATGGGGGTCACGTTTGCAGAAGATTAATACATTTAATGCAGCTTATATGCTCAGCCGACTATGTCTCTGCGCCTTATTGGAAGGTCGTTGGTTTGAATCCTGTCCTCGTTCACAGGCCTGTTAAGCCCCTGAGTGACGTACCTGTATTCCACTTCTGCACATGGCAAATAAAGCATTTCTTAGCCTGCTAACACGCTATGTCATCCACCTGCTACACTGTCTCATTAATCAAGCCGCTAGGTGAGAGCACCCCCTACAGGAGTGGCAGAGCGCTGCAAGGTGCGCTGAGTCACCTGGTCATCCTGCGAGCCTTTCTTCTTCTTTTTCTTCTTCTTCTTGCCCCAGCAGCTGGAGTCCACATCCTTGCTGGGGGACTCACTGCTCACCAGCCCGTCCAGCTCCTGCCCCCCCAGCAGCCACGACTGGGGCATCTCCAGCTCCAGGCGATAGGAGAGGTTCCGCAGAGTGCAGATGCAATTCTCCACGATCTGCCAGGAGTAGGGGGAGGGTCCGACATTAGAGCACAGCATAGATGCCGGTAAATACAGCACTTTCTGTGAACAAAGGCTGTAACATACAGGGGTGAAGTAAGATTAACAGGATGCAGAAGACATACTGTCATAATACAAGCTGTTCAGCATCCGCGTCTGAGGAAACAGCAAATTTGAGGCAAAACACACCATTTCAATCATGCTCTGAAACAATCCTCTGCCAGCCTGTATGTGTTTGATGTGCGTGCAGTGAGTGCGCAGTGAGTGTGCAGTGAGTGTGCAGTGAGCATGCACAGTGAGCCTCAGGGTTTACCCCTTTTCATTCTCATTGTCGCGTTTGAGTTTGATGGCCTGTGGAAGTGCTGGAGAAGTGTGTAGGCCAGCGGACGCGTGTGGGGGGGGGGGGGGGGCTGACCTTGCTGTCGAAGTCAGAGGTGCTGACGCAGGCCTTGATGACGTGGAGCAGGGAGTCCACCAGGCCCTCGCAGGAGCGCATCTGCTTACGCGCCTCCTCCCCTGCGGAGCTCAGGTTCCTGTGCCAGGCAGCGACACACAGCGTGCGGGATGTTAGGTCACAACCCCGGAAGTTTCTCATCATCTCACACTCACTCTGCCTCTGGTTTCTCTTTGTAACTGCTACACAAATACACAGACACAAAGGTAAACACACGTACAGACACAGACAGACAGACACATACTATAGATAAACATACCGACACACACACACACACACGCCCTACAGCTTTCCTTCATTCTCTCGGTCTCCTACAGTTTTTGCCAGGTTACATTTTCTATTGTGTATCACGCTACCGCTTGCGTCCCAAATACTTCAGGCCAGACAGGCGTGCCTGTGGTCTAGACGGCACAGATCCAATTCGAGAAGAGCAGAGGAGTAAAATTCACAGCATTCTGGCCAAAGCACAGGGGAAATGGGACAGCACATGAAAACAATCTATTCAGAATGCCTTTATTATGGGATAGCAGAAGATGGGTAAGCATATGCGTCATACAATGGGCATAACCTGGTGAATCGAAGTGGTTACGTTGTATTTTTAATAAAAAGAGTGGTAATTCATTTGAAATAAAAATACATACAATTACAGTTTTTTTCAACTGCTAAGAAACATTCAGCAAAACTGAAGTCACTTACTCAAAACTCTTCAAACAGTTGCCATAACATTAGTTTATGTGGGCTAAACGGAGTCATTTCTCATTGCTTTCATACAAAATGCATTAAACAAATAAATGCTTAAAAATTCATGGATTCCTTTCTCACTCAAAATCCATCATCATCATCAAAGCTTTACATTTTTAGAGGCCATTTTGCACATGTTTACATACTGGCCCTAAGTCTGTTAATCATACATTCAAAACTGAATGACTACAATTTGCTACGGTACTATCAAGACCCTTCCAAAATATATTGTAATACTGACATGATATAAAATAAATAAAATGAAAACGAGTCCAAACACAGCGGACATCCATTCCAGGGGATTGTCATTAAGTGTATTGCCCAGAGGTGCTACTCTGGATGTAGCGCTGGAAATCACATGTGTTGTAGATGAGAACTTCTGGCTGGATCCAGAGGAGAGTATGGATTAGCGGTTACGACTAGTTGTGGACCAACTAAAAGTCTTTATGTGTGTGGGTGTAGATATACATAGTATTTTGTTTCTGTAGTACTTCCTAAAATACTGCATTTTTGTGTTTTTTTTTTTGATTTTTGAAAATTACTGATGATTATTTTGTAATTACGGTAAGGAATAAAGGCTATATACACTGCAGCATGGTTTGTTCCTTCCCGGACATTTTATAGAGTGCCACAGTGTTCTGTTTTGTAATGCAATGGTTATGACAACTGACATCAGTTACTTTACAGACGATCCTTCACTGATGATCCATATTGTACTTTATGTGATGCTGTCTGTTGTTAGTGTTTTTCAGGCCATTCTTTTGTGCGTGATATAGTGTTATTCGAGAAAGATATTAGGTGGTAATGTTTTGGTGGCGTGAGTCTCTTTGGAGGCATTGATCAACTGTTTTGGTGGCTGTAGTGCATTTTGGAGTGGAGATTAATACAATTACAGAAAATGAGACAGCCCAGCAGCTGCAAGATGGATGGATCAGTGTTAAATCCTCCTGAGACCCAACAATTAATTTCTGTCCTCTGTAGAGGACATCATATTTTTGCTCATATCTGTCACACTACGTAGCTGCACACTTCAAACGGCGTCCAGACGAAACAAAAGAACTTGTCGACGGTGACACCTTCTGTGTCACGCCACACGACCCTGTTTTTGATGCAGCAGACCCACATACCGAGTGCAAATACACGTATTTCGGCGAGTGCGCGATTCATTTTAATAAACGAGATGACATCTCTTTTAAAATAGAAGTTGCTCTCTATTAAAAGTCACTTTTGGTTTAATACTAGCAGTGCCACAGACTGGGACGTCAACAATTTACGCGACACAATTACACACTAATGAAACGCACGCATTCAAAGGGAGACGTTACACGGTTACGACATTTACTGTTTACAGCATAAATACACAAATACATGTATTAATATACAATATTTACAGCTATGTGTGGTGCGGTGCAAAGCCTGCTGGTAACTGCATAATTAGTCCTGCTGACCAACCCTGCGGCATCACATTTATGTCAGCCAATCATGGACAGTGGGTGGGATCAGAACGAATTAAAAAGTTCGCCTTCGAGACCCTGCACAGATGATCACTGCGGAGATTACACATAATACAATGTTGCATTGCTAAAATGGCATTAATTCTGTTTGAAGTATGCAGCCACCTTTAGGGCTATTGTTCCTTAACAAGGAATATTTGGGATTTAAGATCACATGTGTGGTGGTGTGCTTTATACCAATTTACGTTAAAAAAGTGAAAATAAAAACATTTTTCCCCCCTGGATCTTAGGAGGATATGTCTGGATACTATACTTCCAGGAGTATGTTTAGTATTTTGTTCTTCCTGAACAGCAGCTTGGGGATGAGATGACATAAAACTTACAGGGTGCATCACTACACGTGACCACAAGATGGCAGAAGAGTGACACATACACACATGCTTGCGTGCGGGAGGGACGATACCTCAAGCAGCCGCTGGCGTTGCGCAGCACCAGCGAGGAGTGGAACTTGAGCTTGTGGTCCTCGTCAAGGGAGGAGGTGCTCCAGCCAGAGTGGGGGATGATCACAGTGTTGGTGAGGGTGCTTAAGGCGTCCCGAATGATTGTCATCTTCACCGCATCGCAGGAGGACAGGTTCCACAGCACCCCTGCAGTAGAGAGAGAGACGCGGCGATCAGGTGGGGATGTCAGAAGACACGCAACATGGGCTTGTGTCACGTTCCTTATTAGCAGAATCCACCAGAAACTCATCTCAGAACAAACACGGATATAAAGTAACGGGGTAAAACCCAATACGTGTGAAAGGATGTGTGATTTCTGTTAGGCGCATGACACATGGTTGTACTGCGCCTGCTGAGGGATTGCAGGGTAACGGTTTAATTAGGGCACTGGTACCGGAGGGCAGAAACGGATCGCTTACAGGGCGTAACCTTGGGAAGTGCAGAGATGAC